TTCCCTCTTTTTTCCCCCAAAACAAAGAACTTTTTATTGAAGTATTAGTTGATTTACAATGTTGTGTTAGTTTCAGGTATACAGCAAAGTGATTCAGTATTACATAGATATATGTCTATTCTTTTTCACATCCTTTTCCATTATAGGTTATTAGAATATATTGAATATAGTTCCCTGTGCTATAAAGTAGGACGTTGTTGTTTATCTGCTTTATATACAGTCATTTGTATCTGCTAATCCCAAACTCCTAATTTATCCCTCCCCCACCCCCTTTGCCCTCTGGTAATCATAAGTTTCTTTTCTAAGTCTGGGAGTCTGTTTCTTTTTGTAAGTAATTTTATTTTTATAATTTTTTTTACATTCACATATAAGTGACATCATGATATTTGTCTTTCTCTGTCTGACCTACTTCACTTAGTATGACAATCTCTAGGTCCATCCATGTTGCTGCAAATGGCATTACTTCATTCTTTTTTATGGCTGAGTAATATTCCATTGTTTATTTGTACCACATCTTCTTTATCCATTCATCTGTTGATGGACACTTAGGTTGCTGTCATGTCTTGGCTAGTGTAAGTAGTGTTGCTACGAACACAGGGTTGCATGTATCTTTTTAAATTATAGTTTTGTCTGGATATATGCCCAGGACTGGGATTGCTGGATCATATGGTAGTGCTATTTTTAGTTTTTTGAGGAAACTCCATACTGTTCTCCATAGTGGCTGCACCAGTTTACATTCCCACCAACAGTGTAGGAGGATTCACTTTTCTCCACATCCTCTCCAGCATTTATTATTTGTAGACTTTTTAATGATCGCCATTCTGACTGGTGTGAGGTGGTACGTCACTGTAGTTTTGATTTGCGTTTCTCTAATAATTAGCGATAATGAGCATCTTTTCATGTGCCTATTGACCATCTGTATGTCTTCTTTGGAGAAATGTCTATTTAGGTCTTCTGCCCATTTTTGGATTGGATTGTTTTCTTGTTATTAAACTCTACGAGCTGTTTGTATATTTTGGAAGTTAAACCCTTGTTGATTGCATCATTTGCAAATATTTTCTCCCATTGCATAGGGTATCTTTTTATTTTGTTTATGGTTTCCTTTCTGTGCAAAAGCTTGTAATTTTGAATAGGTCCCATTTGTTTATTTTTGCTTTTATTTCTATTGCCTTGGGAGACTGACGTAAGAAAACGTTTGTACGATTTATGTAAGGGAATATTTTGCCAATACTCTATCCTAGGAGTTTTATGGTGTCATGACTTATATTTTAGTCTTTAAGCCATTTTGAGTTTATTTTTGTGTATCGTGTTAGAGAATGTTCTAATTTCCTTCTTTTACATGTAGCCGCTCAGTTTTCCCAGCACCACTTATTGAAGAGACTGTCTTTTCTCCAGTGTATATTCTTGCCTCCTTTGTCATAGATTAATTGACCATAAGCGTGTGGGTTTATTTCTGGACTTTCTATCCTGTTCCCTTGATCTATATTTCTGTTTTTCTGCCAGTACCTTAGTATTTACTGTAGCTTTGTAGATTAGTCTGAAGTCAGGGAGCTGTGATTTCTCCAGCTCTGTTCTTCCTTCTCAAGATTGTTGTGGCTATTTTGAGGTTTTTTGTGTTTCACAGACATTTTTAAATGTTTTGGTCTAGTTCTTTGAAAAATGCCATTGGTAATTTGATAGGGATTGCATTGAATCTGTAGATTGCCTTGGGTAGTATGGTTATTATAACAATATTGATTCTTCCAGTCCAACAATATGGTATAACTGTCCATCTCTGTCAGCTTCAGTTTCTTTCATCAGCATCCTATAGCTTTTGGAGTACAGGTCTTTTGCCTCTTCAGGTAGGTTTATTCCTAGGTATCTTATTCTTATTTTTCTTTCCCCCTCTCCATGGAAATCTTTAGTAAAAGGCAAAAGATTTATATGATCTGAAGAGAAACCAGAGTATGAATGGTATTTTATTCTTTTTGATGCAATGGTAAATGGGATTGTTTCCTTAATTTCTCTTTCTGATAGTTTGTTGTAGTGTGTAGAAATGCAACAGATTTCTGTATATTAAGTTTGTATCCTGCAACTTTACTGAATTCATTGATGAGCTCTAGTAGTATTCTGGTAGTATCTTAAGGGCTTTTTTTATGTATGGTATCATGTCATATGCAAGCAGTGACAGTTTTACATCTTCCTTTCCAATCTGGATTCCCTTTCTTCTCTGATTGCCGTTGCTAGGCCTTCCAAAACTATGTTGAATAAAAGTGGCAAGAGTGGGCATCCTTGTCTTGTTCCTGACCTTGGAGGAAATGCTTTCAGCTTTTCACCGTTGAGTATGATGTTAGCTGTGGTTTTGTCATATATGGTCTTCATTATGTTGAGGTAGGTTCCCTCTATGCCCACTTTCTGGAGAGTTTTCATCAGAAATTGATGTTGAATTTTATCAAAAGCTTTTTCTGCAGCTATTGAGATGATCATATGGTTTTTACTCTTCAGTTTGTTAATATGGTGTATCACACTGATTTGAGGATATTGAAAAATCCTTGCATCCCTGGGATAAATCCCACTTGATCATGGTGTATGATCCATTTAATATACTGTTGGATTTGGTTCGCTAGTATTTTGTTGAGGATTTTTGCATCTATGTTCATCAAAGGCACTGGCCTATAATTTTCTTTTTTTTGTGGTATCTTTGGCCGGTTTGGGTATCAGGGTGATGGTGGCCTCACAGAATTAATTCGGATGTGTTCCTTCCTCTGCAGTTTTTTGGAATGGTTTCAGAAGCACAGGTATTAACTCTTCTCTAAATGTTTGACAGAATTTGCCTGTGAAGCCATCTGGTCCTGGACTCTGGTTGTTGGGAGTTTTTTAATCACAGTTTCAATTTCAGTACTGGTAATTGGTCTGTTCATATGTCCTATTTCTTCCTGGTTCAGTCTTGGGAGATTGTACCTCTCTAAGAGTTTGTCCATTTCTTCTAGGTTGTCTGTTTTATTGGCATACAGTTGCTTGTAGTAGTCTCTTAGGATTCTATTTCTCTGGTGTTGGTTATAACGTCTCCTTTTTCATTTCTAATTTTATTGATTTGAGCCTTCTCCCTTTTTCTTCTTGATGAGCCTGGCTAAAGGTTTATCAACTTTGTTTATCTTTTCAAAGAACCAGCTTTTTAGTTTCTTTGATCTTTTCTATTATTTTTTTAGTCTCTGTTTATTCACAATAAGGATGAGTCAGAAGCACTTTTCTCCCTGGCTTCTTTGTTACTTGCTTGCTTATTTACTAGTAATTCGCCGGAATATTTCTATGGAAACAAGCTAACAGTATTATTTACAACTAAGCAAAGTCACTGCAAACAGGTGTCTGTAAGCAACTATTATAGTAAAACACTGTACAGTTGTAAAGTAGTACTTGGACCAGAATAACAGAGACTTTAAAAATAAGTTCTTAAATAAGGATGGGATCCCCTAGAGAGAAGAGGGACCAGGAGCGGGCGTGAAGGAACTCCAGTTTCAGCACAAAGAGGGGCAATGCAGCAGAGGACAGTGCAAGTGAGTGCCCAGAGGAGCTGGAGAACACGGGGAGATTTGAGACAGAAGCTGAGGCGGGCAAGGGGTTTAAGAAGAGGGAGGGGGCTCCCCTGGTGGCGCAGTGGTTGAGAGTCCGCCTGCCGATTCAGGGGACACAGGTTCGTGCCCCGGTCCGGAAAGATCCCACGTGCCGCGGAGCGGCTGGGCCCGTGAGCCATGGCCGCTGAGCCTGTGCGTCTGGAGCCTGTGCTCCGCTACGGGAGAGGCCACAGCAGTGAGAGGCCCACGTACCGAAAGAAAAAAAAAAACGCTACCTTATGCTACTGATTTTAAAATGAAAGGAGACACAGTGGATGCTCACAGAGTGTGTATTTGAAGACTCGTGTGGTCACTAAGGTTTATTTGTAACCCCTAACCAGTCCTGGGGGGTGCTCGTGCAGGGAGTGGCGATGGGCTTGAGTCGCCCCACGTACACGTTCCCACCTGAAGCTGAGGGGACGCCGCCCTCTCGTTTCCACTCTCACGCTGGCGACACATCCTCTGCCCGGTCTGTTTAGCGCCGTGGGTTTCTGGTCTGTTGTGTTGCATTTCCTTGCTTTTTGCTGGAGATTTGTCCTGGTTAAAGTGGCCCCGAGCATAGTGGTGGAGTGCTGCCTTTGCCGATTGATGCATGAGGCTGCCTGGGAGGTGCTAGTCACGTTGGTAGTGTGTGATGAAGTTCCGAAAAGGTAAAAAAAAGTGTCTAAATTTGTCGTTTTTGAGATGGTGATGGATTAAAAAAAAAGTACAGTGGAGGCGTTATTGTGAGGCTGAAAGCAAAAGAAGTTTACTGTCCTGCTACCCAGGATCATGAAAATAATTTCAACTAGAGTTTTTTAAGTAAAGAAATATTACAGTTAATTATGACTTTATTAAATAAGTTTTTAAAAAAGAAAAACACACATAAAATAAGATTATGTATTGACTGGCTGGCAAAAATGTGGTGACCAGAAGCTCATGGGGAAACTAACACTGTATTTCTCCAAGAAACAGCCATCCCGGCTTTGCTAATTCTGCATTCACGGTGATTTTCTAAACCCTCACTTGTGTGAATAACGAGAACCGATTGTGTAGACCTGCATGAGAAACGCATGCCAGTTTTTGATTAAGCTTGGAAGAGTGTGGACTGCTGTGTATGTGTCTGAAAAAGTGCCATGAAGGACTGCTTAAAAGGCAGCCTGTTCATTTTAATCATGTCTTAAAGGAGTGGGTTTTATTCGGGTCTGGTGAAGGCAACAGAGACAACGGCCACTGAGAAGGTAGTTTGTTACTCACGGCTCCCGGGAGGTGGACCCTCCCACCACTCGGGCCACGTGGGGAGGCACCAGGGTCGGTCAGGAAGCAGGAAACTGTGCTCAGAAGCCTTTCCTCTGGCGAGTAGGAAAGGCAAGATGGTCTCAGGATTGGCTAGTCAGGATTGGCTCTGGCTCAGGGGCTGTCCCCACCTACCTGGCCCTGGGGTGACGAGGGTGGTGGCCCAGAGTGTGAGGGCCCCACAGAGGAGGTGCTGGGGAGGGGCTCTGGGTCAGCTGGTCTGCACGGGGCAGCGGCCACCCTGCGAGGGCGGTCCCGGCAGGGTCTGCAAGGCTGCAAGATGTCACAGATACAGAAAACAAAACAAAAAGGCGTGATTAAGTAAGAGGCAAGCTGAACGCAAGGGCAATTGAGGGCAGGGATCAAGGGTGTGGTTTTAGAAGCGCTGAGTTTGAAAAGCATCTGCATGGGACAGGAAGCTGGGAACACCGGCTCCTCCAGGGAACAGCTCAGGTGGAGGTAGAAACGCAGAGCCGCAGAGCCGTCTTGGAAAGCCTTGGGCTTGGCTGAAATTCTTCACGGAGGTGGCAGATCCAGAGTAGGCGTGGACTCGGGCAGGGCGGAGCTGAGAGCTGAGGGCTCCGACGTGTCGCTCGGCGTGTCCTCTTATGGAAACACAGTTATGCTGTCAGATGTGTGTGGGGTTCTTAGGAGACCTGGAGCCACGGGTATCAATCACACGTCCTAGCACTGGAGTGCAGCAAACTGGAGTCCAGCCCCGGCTGCTCCGGACCAGGGAATGTCAGCCCTGCCGTGTGCCCGACTTTGGAACTTGCTACTCCGTCCGATGTGGGAGCCACGAGCCCCGTGGAGCCGCTGAATTTTAAATTGATTTCAGTGACTTAAGAATTTGATTCCTCAGCTGCAGCAGCAATGTGGTGACGAGGGGTCACCACATACAGAAGCTTTCGTTGTGGCAGACAGTTGTGTGGGACGGTGCCCTGCCCCGTTATCCACACCGAGCAGGCCCAGTGCCAACCTCCTTCCAGGTTCCCCTGCGAGGTCAGCTCCTCTGTGAGCTGCGCCAGCGTTTCAGTGACAGTCGCAACCCTCTGTCGGGACGCCGTACCTCTCTCGCCCTCCGTGTTCAGCTGTAGGCTCATCTCCCTCCGACCTGAGACCTGACTCATGTACTTTATTACTTGTCCAGCCCCCTTAGGATTTAAGAGGCGTGAGAGCAGCTGCTCCTGGGAGGTTATTTCACTGCGATGCCTAGAGCAGCACCACTTGTTGAAAGAAGGGATTTGAATTCACTCAATGACTGACTTCAGCCTTAATGTATAACGTGCAATTCTTTTCTTAAAAAAAAGCCCCTGATGTCTGCCATGTAAAGAGTTACAAACCTCTAGTCAGAGGGTTCCCCTTTTAGCTAAACACCATTGGTGCCCACTTGCTGTTTATTTTCTCAGATTGAAAGTTCTTTTCTCGTTCCAAAGTGCTCAGAGCAAGTTCCCACCAGAACCACCCGATTTCATCCAAGAGTTTTCCCCTCGGAAAACCTCCATCAAACACTTGGCGTGAGCATTCGGACGAGATGCTAATCACCCAGGGAAGCGGTGCCTTTCACACCCGGGGACACACTGGGGTGATTATTAAGCCCAGGATGGCCCGGCCCTCCTTTCCCACACTCAGTGACCGGCTTCTCGTCACGGTGTCTTTTTTTCCACTCGGTCGGCCAAAGTAAAGACACGTGCAGAAAACGCGCTGCTCCAGCTGGAAGTGGAAACGTTGAAGGAGCCCGTATGCTGGGCTGGCTTTGAGAGCAGGCCTCGTTTCCGTAGTGATCGCGCACACGCACCGCAAGGATGCACTTACCGTTAAGGCACCAGGAGGCTGTTCACCCTGTATCTTCTGATGAGGGGGCCTGTCACAGCAAGGCTCGAGATGGAGCACATCTGAAGGGCCAGGTCTTCAAGTTGAGGGAAAGGCTTTTGTTCCTGCCTGGGCTTGACGGCCTCTCCATCAGCTTCGTCAGAAAAATGTAGGATCCAGAGACTTGAGACGAGTCTCTCTTAGAGCCTAGGAAATAGGAGAACGGCTGCTGAGTGCTACCCTTCGTTGGGGGATTTATGACCGTGGACACCATGGCGAGGTTATTCTCAAGACCTCTGTGGAGTCATTTTGCTATGACTTTGCTAATTATTTTTTTCTGTGTGGTTCTCGTATTGCAATTCGCTTTTCCTTTGATGGCTTATTGCTTTTTCCCCCTGACTCTAGTCAGAATTTTGGGAGACCCACCTCCTCTGGCTGGTGTACGCAATTCTGGATCACCTGCAGGACTCTGTCCTTCCTTCCTGGTCTGTCGTGCTTTCAGGACTTGGGGCTGCGTGCACTGTGACTTGCAGACTGCTCTTTTTTGCTGATCGGTGTTGACTTTACAGATCCCGGTGTCAGTCGGTATCATGTGCAGTGGTTTCCGGAAGTCTGTGCCCACAACGAGTCCGCCGGGGCGGAGGCATCCTCGGGCGTGACCCAGGTGAGGAGGTGGCCGAAATGCCGGATTCTGAACAGCTTCTAGACTCACCTGATCGGGGGACAAAGCTGGACAGAGAGAGGTGCAGGCCGTGTGTCCAGTGGGTAACTCATCCTCACGGGGCTCCCTAAGGGACCCATGACCAGGTGGGAGCGGGAGACACAGGGTCACCTGTTCACTCATCTCTCGGCCCTTCACAACCTCACACGTCATCAGTCAGCACAGGGCGGGCCCTGAGATGCAGACATTCAGGACACAGCTTGCGGGGAGCTCCCAGGACACAGGGGAAACTCTGCCAGCCTCTGGGCGTCTCACCTTAATGGCACGAAAGCTCTGAATTGTTTTCTGGACTTTGACTCGGCACAATGACCTAAAAGGTCTCATTTCCCCCAGGGAATTTCTATACGACACTATCATTCAGCATCACCTTTGCTGCATCCCTAACTTCCACCAACTCGTCCAGGTAATGAAAGATACGGCCCGTCCTGTGATGTTCTGCCTTTAAGGGTCCCAGAGATGCTCCTGCCGCAGCTCTCGTACATGTACACGAGGCCCTGACAACTACACCCTAGAACGGGCACGCACACCCAACACCCAAAGGGCACGCACACCCTAGAATGGGCACGCACACCCAACACCCAAAGGCGAAGAATCCTCGCACAAGCTCGTTAGGCCCGTCAGTGTCAGCTCTCCCGTTAGCGTAAGGTTATACCCTCAGCCTCTCACTCCGCCCGCAGTTGAGTCTGGTTTTCGTAATCCTGTCTAATCGGAAAGTTCCGGCCGGCGGCAATCACAGCCCTCCCAGCAGGGGAGGCAATACACAGCTCAAGAATGTCTTCCTTTCCGTAAGGAAACACTCACAGCTAAAGCACGCCTGTGTCTCAGAGAAGCCCGAGTTAGCTTGTTTTGTATTGACAACTTAGGTGTCTGTCTACAGCGTTACCCACCGCGCGGCCTCCCACCTCGCCCCACTGCTGCCAGCTCCCCGAGCCTGCTCGTGAGGGCTGCAAGTCGGCTGTTTTGACGTGGAAGCGCTGCCGTCCTGTCGGGTTCTGGAGCCTGTGTCCCACCCCATGGGAGCCTCTCACAGTTGTAATAAATGAAAGCAGGGCCCCTGTCTCCTTTGCACTTTTTATGGAAGCCGTGGTGCACACGTCCCATATATAGGGAGACAGCCTTGGTGGAGGTAGGATTTCCTCTCCTGCCCATTTCGTACCCTCGTGAGATTTACCGTTAGCGTATTCTCTCTCTCTAGGAAAATTACATGATTCTTCAAGATCTGGCATTTTCCTGCAAATACAAGGTGACCGTCCAACCCACACGGCCAAAGGGCCGCTTGAAAGCAGAAACCGTTTTCTTTACGACCCCACCGTGCTCCGCTCTGAAGGGCAAAAGCCACAAGCATGTCAGCTGCCCCAGCGACGCAGGTACGTTTCACGCGAACTTCCAAGGTTGCGGCTGTGATGTCAGCAACTCTGTACACATTTCCAGACCGCATTTCACAAGAGCCTACAAACCCAAAGTATCCCCCTTTCTAAACTGCAGCGTGACGGCCCAGTTGGGAGGTAACATACGTATGAAGGCACGCATTACATCCTCATTGCAGCAGCTCTGGCGGACAGCCTTTGGCCTGTCAGCCCTTTAGAAATGAAGCCGAGGGTCTGTGTACTGCTTGTCCTTTGGCGCACTTTACGTAAATGATTTCACTTTTATCCCGGCCCTCTGCCATGGGCGTCACCTCGACACGCTTTCCGAACGCCCCGTCTTTACCTTCCCAAGCCTCTCCTAAAACAGGGGCAGCTATTCTCAGACGCAGACCCCTGGGCGCCTTCTAGTAACTTCCGACGACTCTTGCAGTACCTTGAATATCACCCGTCTCACTGCAGTCTCTCCTGTTCTCTAAGTGGCCAGGCCCCGCCAGATCCCAAAATTCTTCCTCTGTCTTCCACCCCCAAAGCAGGACTCTCAACGTAGTGCCCAAGGGAGCAGAAGCACGTGGCACGAAGGTGCAGGGCTGAGGCGGCCTCTGCACAGCTCGCCAGGGCGACTGTCTGACCCCGCGCTCCCGAGGCGGCCGGCCGAACCCCACGGGACGTACCTGCCGCCTAGGGCCCCTCTCGCACTCTCCATCCCCTGACCCGGCCTTCCTCTTCCCGCTGCTCCAGGTCACGTTCATTCCAAAGTGCAAGCCAAACCTGAGAACCTGTCGGCCTCCTTCGTGGTCCAGGACACGAACGTCACGGGGCGCTTCTCCTGGCAGCTGAGCAAGGCCACCGTCCAGCGGCCCGTGACTGGCTTCCACGTGACGTGGGCCGAGGTCACGACCGAGAGCAGGCAGAACGGCCTTCCCAACAGCCGCATCCTGCAGTCCCAGATCCTCCCGGCGGTGGGTGCCCCTCCCTCCCGGGCCCTCGGGCCGGTACCCGCCCCGCAGGGGGGTTACTCACTGTCGGCGCCCACGTCCCATCACGCTGGGGCCAGTTGTTGAGCCGCGTGTGTGCGTTGTCTTCTCCCGAGCGTATTATTTCGCAGGTACTGAAAGACACCACACAAGTGTTGCGTGAACAGTAGTCTAGATGAACTGTGATTACTAGAGCCCCTCTTCAACCCACGTCTCCTGTCGACACGGGATGCACGCGGTGTAACCACTTCATTCTCCTTTGTGAAGCCTGTGTCCCTCTGGCCCAAGTGGACAGGCCCTGTTGGAAGGGTTAAATTTGGGGGAAAATAGCTAAGAGAACCTTCTTCTTTCTCTCCGTTTCCCCGCTTCAAATCTGGCCAGAGCCCGTAATGAGCTGGCCTGTCTTCCAGGCCACTAATTCCTTGGCTTGGAAAAAAAACCCATGTACCGGCTTCTACCAGCTCTAAAAATGCCCTTAGAATATCCAACTCCTGCTCCAAAAAGAAGAAGAAAAAACAAACAAAAAAACCCTTAAATCCTGGAAGGAAAAATTCCATGGAATTGGAAAGTAATTTTTCTATGTGTGTATATATTAGGCTTTATTGAGTTTTGAGAAAAATGTGTTGGCATAAAAATAAACACTGTTGGCTGTGGGCATTGACAGATAGATAGATAGATACTGCATCTTAAGGAACACAGTTGGCTCGCTTACGGAAATGTGGATCATGAAGAATTCACACCACAAGATGTGCAGATGAAAACTTTAAACCATGGGAAAGTCTTGGGTTGAGGAATACAAAATGCGGTCGCGGGGTGAGCCCTGAGACTGGCCCCGGCTGCCAAGAGCTGGGCTCTCACTGCCGAGGCTGCCCGGCAGGGCAGGACTCTAGCAAACAGGGACAGACGTTCGACCGACCACGCTGGGGTGTCAAAGCAACCGCACCTGCGTTTACACGGTGATCGCGGGCGTGCGGGCGGGAGGAAATGGGCAGAGAATGAGAGAGTCCGTCGTGTGGCTTTGTGGTCAAGAGGTGCCTAACGGGCGCGTCCTCTCCTGTCCCCCCTCAGGATCGCTCCGTGCTCACGGTGCCAGGTCTGCGGCCGGCCACCCTCTACCGTCTGGAGGTGCAGGTGCTGACCGCGGGCGGGGAGGGACCCGCCACCATCAGGACCTTCCGGACCCCCGACCTCCCACCCTCGGCTGTGCACAGTGAGTGCCGGGGGCCCCCGCCAGCTTTGGGGACACAGAGAAAGTCTTGCTGAAAAAACGAAAATCAACAGATCACTGCAGATTCCTACGGATAGGGAATTCTCTGAACCTGAACTTCTTCCAGGCCTTTGTATGTGCTTTTCCTGGCGGCCACGCCTGCTGCCCGCAGCCCACCTTACACGCTTCCTGGCCCTGCTCCCTCCTCCCTCCCCCCTCCCTCCCTGTCTTCCTTTCTGTTACTTCCTTTTCCATACTTCCATTTTTTTCCCTACATGATGCATGCTTTCTCCTTGTCTTTTAACCACAGATACACATGGGAGGGAAAAAAGTCTGTCATCTCGTATCAATCTGAATTTTTGTTTTCTAAATTAAGATGTTCAAATATGACCAAATAGCAAATAGTATTTGGCTATGGAGCTTACTTTCTTATTACATATGTTGTTACTGTAATCTATTACATGAATTTTCTTCATAACATGACCCAAATCAATCTACTTGACTTACTGCTACGTTAAAAATAACTGTCACGTGTTGTTTCAAAACAGTGAGCCGCTTGTTGGTTTTTAAATTATGCGCTTTGCTTTTCTAGCTTAAACCTTTGACATGGCTTTTTAAGTTTATGTGTTAAGAAAACTGAGAAGTCGTTCTAGTTTTACTTGTTTTTTAAAAAATGATGGATCAAATTTGCCCCCCAATAGCTTTCTGCACTTCGAATTTAAAGGAAAAAACCATCACGTGGAAGAGCTCGATGGCCCCTTACGCTTATAAGGGTGAATGCAGTCCCCATGTGCCTCCACTGAAATTCTGTGTAATGAGAGCATGGGTTAAGTTTTAAACTTTCTTGAGGAAATGCGAAGGATTTTGGCTTATATAATTGTGAGCCTAAAGAAAGGGGCTCGTCTTCTTTCTCTTGTGATTTTTTGGCGTTAGGGAGGGAACCAAAGCGCGGGGGGAAGGCAGAGAGAAGAGAGGGAGAGTGAGTGTCTGTCTCTCTGCACGTTCAGAGCCGGGAGAGGAGGGACCTGGACGGGAGGGAGCGCGGGCCCGGGGCCAAGGCGTTCACCGCAGTCAGCGCGTTCCTACTGTCCGTTCAGCCAGCCGGGGAAAGCGCCACGACCGACTGATGTGTCTGTTCTGTCTCCCTAGGACCCCACCTGAAACACCGTCATTCACACCATTACAAGCCTCCAGAAAGATACTGACCTGTTCCCGGAGATGTCTGAACCCCGAGCGAGCGTGTGAGCTCGCAGACCTTCGAGGACCGGCCGCGCCCGCTTACGGGGGCACCAGGCCTTTCCCATAGGACCTCCCGCCCCATCTAACTTCACTGCACTAAACGCTTCTGTCTGTCTCGGACGCGCCTGGACACCAGGGACAAGTGGTGAGACGGTGGACGTGGACACAGTTTCCTGTGAGAATGGAGAGAACACGAAGGCCAGGCGTGTTTCACTGCAAAATCTGTTTCCATACATGGTCTAGCTATGATCTCAAGTGAATTACTGCAGACCTGAGACTTCCCTGAATTTAGAGCGGCGAATTCTCAAGAGACACCGGCGTAACAAATACGCAGTTTATACACGTAATAAGCATGCTAAGCGTACACATAGTAAGCGTCACGTTACTCAATAAACATTTTAAAATTAAATTATTGGTTTGGTTTGCAAAATCGACTGAAGACTATACGGTTTTTTGGCCCTATTTATTCAAATACTTCTTAAGATGATTTTTTATCACGTGATTTTTTAGCTGAAAACTTGTGACCTGAAATATGCCAATTAATTTAGACTTAAAATGTTCCCACTTCCAGCACCTAAGCTTCATTTTCTACAAAGGCAAAGAAGAGCGCAGCCTGTCAATGAGGGTTTAGGGAAGACATCCACAGCAGAAAGGAGTCAGTGCCTTACGCTGCTATCCAGAGTCTGCCTTGGAGAAACTAAACGTCTTTTCTGGGGATGCTTTTTAACATTTCGTCCTGTACTGTGAGAGATTTCCCTGATACGCTATTTATGCTTTTCCTTAATGTGGGAAACAGCTGCTGACATGCTTTGTTTTGCAGCTTTCATGTATCTAAAACTTTGCAAAACCTCTTGCTTGAAATGAAGGAATCCCAACGATTGAATATTTTCAAATCTTCACTGAGATTTGCCTTTTCTTAACGAAAGCAAGCTCTTGACGTGGTAGAATACTGTCCGTGATGTAGAAAAGGCGGAAGGGCTTTGGTTGGTGGAGAAGGACAGCTACTTGCCTTTGACTAACCTTCCTTTACTCCTACAGATGTATTATTATACCTTATTTGAAAAATTTCCCAGGTTCCACGCTAAGCCCTCAGAGCACGAACGCAAGTCAAACACGTTGTCAGTACACAGTATTGCAGGGTATGTCGCGGCAGCCTTAAACCAGAAATGTTTAGTTTAATATAGTTTTTTCCTCGAGGGAATACCCATATGTATGTTTTGAAACAGGCACGTGTGTATGTGCGTCTGCGTGCTTCCGTGTGTATACGTATACACACAGGCACAAACACACGTACATACACACACTCATAGACTCACACGTACACACACGTACACCTTGAGGACGCATCTCTGAAGAAATTGTTTTCCCAGCTCAGCAATGGTGGATAAAGACACGGTTCTCCTACAGATCATTAGGGTCATCTATTTTCCCCGTCAGTATTGACACTATGAGAAAAGAGCAACTTAAAAAATTGAACATTTTAAAGGATAGGCTTCCTCGTTTCATGACCTACACAAGTAAAACGAGGAAATTTTCAGTACACTTTCCTTGGGTTTTCACGGTGGGACTTGGAACTGGTCGTTTTGTTACGTTTCCTGAAAGCCTGCGGGCGCCCTGACTGCACCTGGTGGGGTGAAGAGGAGAGAGAACGTGTTGGCTTTTGTGAGGTTTCCCACTCTAAGAGCAGAAGCCACGCAGAACGCAGACAGACTCTGTCTGTTACCAAATCGATGCCTAGCCTTAGGGAACACAGTCTGTAGGCATGGATCCCTGAAAGAGGATACTGAAAACTGCTTCCCGTGTGTTAAAATTGTTTAAAAGTCGATAAGGCAGACAGTGTTCTGCAGCTTTGGACATGCGGCTCCGTGGGAAATCTCAGAACGGAAGTTCACGGCGCTTCCGGCTGTTTTTCTGCGGCTCCTAACGTGGCCTGGGATGGACTTTAGCACAGGCTGTCCTGAAATCACCTGGTTCCAAGAGTTCCAAATTTTGAATGGAGAGAACAGGAACAGCCTTCATTTCAAACGCCCTTGAGCTTGAGCAAACACAGAGACCTTCTCCGAAACTATGCGCTATTCTAGTGCCATTCCCAGCCTCTGAATTTCAAATTCTTAAAACTTCAAAAATGAAAACTTCACATTATTGGCTACAAGGTTATCTTTTACCTTAATTTGTCATGAAGAAATCCACCAAGTATTCGTGCCAGCAAATTTCTGTACTGTTGTATAGTTTAAAATGCAGGCGTATATACATAGATACACGATATTATTAAATTATTAAATAAGCTTAATTTTATAAAATTTAATTATGTTTCTTTTGTCTGGGTAAGAGACATTGAGCAAATATATTTTCAGTTCAGATAAAGGTTCTGTACCTTACACCTTCCTTAAAAAAATCTGAAGCAGCTCTTACGAGCATTTCATCCTGCTATAATATTCAATAATTTAAATGTTGTTAGTGTTATTGGAAGAAAATTCTATTAATTAGGCAATGAGAGAAACCTGAGTTTCTTTTACGAATTTCAGTAATCTTCAATAATAGTCAAATGAACAAAAATATAATTACTGCTTTTTGAATTTTCAACATTTGAGTGCCCTAATAAAGGGCTAAAAAGATCTGTTTCTTATTTTAAAACACAGTTTTAGTGGCTGACTCTCTGATACGTTCTATGGAAATTAGATGCATTTCTCTCACGTGAGAAAAAGTATATTAACTGATAGTATTTACTCTTTAAAAAACTGAGCTCGTCAAACATGATGTCATCAAAGACAGGTGGCTAATTCCATGTA